TTGGCTTCTCATACTCTTTCTCTTCAGTAAAAAATTTTCTCTCCTTTACCAGTTTTTTCCCTCCTAAATCAATATTAATTTTCCAAAACCAGAATAGAAATTGCTCAGATTGAAATCATTCTATGGAAAAGTTGATATCTAGTTATCTCCTACAGTCAAGCAAAGTCTGCTTGAAAGAGTCCAGCGCAGAGCTACAAAGATGATTAAGGGAGTGGAACATCTCCCTTATGAGGAGAGGCTGAGGGAGCTGGGTCTCTTTAGCTTGGAGAAAAGGAGACTGAGGGGTGACCTCATCAATGTTTTCAAATATGTAAGGGGTGAGTGTCAGGGAGATGGAGTTAGGCTTTTCTCAGTGATGACCAGTGATAGGACAAGGGGTAATGGGTGCAAATTGGAGCATAGGAGGATCAAGGTGAATATCCGAAAAAATTTTTTTACTGTGAGAGTGACAGAGTCCTGGAACAGGCTGCCCAGAGAGGTTGTGGAGTCTCCTTCACTGGAGACATTCAAAACCCACCTGGATGAGTTCCTGTGTGATGTGCTCTAGGTGACCCTGCTCTGGCAGGGGGGTTGGACTAGATGATCTTTCGAGGTCCCTTCCAAACCCTAAGATTCTATGATTCTATGAAACCATGCACGTACTTTGTTTTTCTTAAAATATTTGCAACATACCATATCATAACAATATGAAGTCTTACACAAACCCAGTATTTTTATATTTACATAAATCCTGAATGCCTGCCTTTAAATGCTGATTACAAACGGTTGAGTTTGTGCTCTAAATGCTAAAAGCTCAAAGAGGAGGTTTTTGTCAACTCTATCTCTGTGTATTTGAAAACTGGCTTCAAACAAACAAAAACCTAATGAAAACCCACCATACAGGAAGTGTCAAGGCACCCAGTATCATCAAAATTGGTGGGAGATTTTGTCAGCAACTTAAGAGGACAAACAAAATACTGAACATTTTTCTGGTAAGAAACTGTGCTCAAAGGGATAATATAACTCATTAATACAGTGTGTGTATTAATTACTTTCCTACTTACAAAAATGCACTAAAATAGGTAAGAGTTTAGGAAGTCAAGCACTGAAATCTAAAAACCTCCATATGAATAACCATAACATGTTTGCTTCTTCATGCTGCCTGTAACTATGTAATTAAATATGTTCTCATAGAGGAAATTATGTACAGTACAGACAACCCTTCAGGAAATGAATCAGCTGAGAAACAAGTCTTCATACATGTTTGTGGACGCTGCATCTGACCAAGTCATGAGAAATGCTCAGCACTCAATTCTAATGGTACAAAATCTCTTGTGCCATCAGTATCCACTTAAAATACCAAGTGTAGAGGCAACAATGGGAAACATACCTGAAGGTAACAAACAAGGCTATATAAAATACCTCTTAGAAAAAGTAGGAAAAAAATTACATCTAGAAGCAAAGATACTAAGCTAAGTTCCAGAGCCTTTCACTTCACCAATAACATCAAGGTTATTATCAGATTAACTCTTCAGAAATGGTTCAGATACATCACTTATAAACTGGGGAAAATGACAAAAATCATCTTCATCCATTCCAATGCAAAGTCAAAGTTTGTAGACAGATGAGGAAAGAAGATAGTTACACTCTCAAGGAGACCTGACCATTCATCTTCTGAGGTTATACTATCCTCAACTGGGCAATATGCAAGACTTTGTGGTACTTTAACCATAGGTCACAGCTCCTGAGGAGCTGCAGAAGGTGAGTACAGCGAGTATCACAGTCAGTGGCTGGAGAGAGCTGCAAAAAATCCTGACTTACACAAGAACGCCGGGCTTACGTGCTAAGGAGGTCACAAGAGAAAGAGAAGAACATACAGCTTGTGAGAAGGCACTAGCTTCAAGTTTGTGTAGCAAAATGACTGTTGCCTAAACCAGCCTTCATCTATTTGCTTTTAGAACTGGAAGTATATAATAAAGCAGAAAGTATATAAGAAGTGAGGAGAAAAGGGCCTTGTTTCAAAATAATGGATGCCACCTTTAGGAAGTGGATTCTGGCCTTTTTGAGGTGCAATTTTACGTAATCACTTTCACAAGCAATCCCTAACATTGTTCCTGGTTCCAGAATATTTAGGTTTTCTCCAATGATGAAGTTATTGGTATTCCCTTGATACTAAGCAAAGGGCATGAAAACGTCAATTCTCCGAAAAAAAATAAAAATAGTTAGAACCCCCAGGAAGTTGACAGTACCATTCCATAGTCTCCCCAGCCCACAATTTAGCAAGGTACTAGAAAGCTGGATTACACTCTGTTTTCACTAGTGTGAAAAGACAGTATCAAAACAGTTGGTACAACAGCCTCACAAATTTCTCAGGGTGTTTGCAGAAAGACTCAGTAATAAAATTTGAAAAGCAAACCTCAAACTGCATTAAAGCTGAAGGGAAAGGAAGTTCCAGATCCAGCATTGAGAAAGCAGTAACTCTCTCAGCATTGCTAAACAGATGTTATCATTTACAGTTTGGACTAAACTTCACATTATGCATGTTAAGAAATAAAAATATTCCCCGGGGTTAATTTCTCTCTCGTAACATAGCATAATATACCTTTTATAGGCCAAGCTAACCTGTCATAGCAAGGTTGGTGCATTCTACTCAATTCATCACATGCAACATGTGAAGAAACAAACACTTAAAATATACATAGTCTAAACAGATCAAAGGTCTTGGCTGTCCTTTACATACTGCCATTTTAAATTTCGTAATTAAAGAAATCACATGCAAAAAAGCAAACAAAACAAAGTTAATATTTTAGTAGAGAACTATATACTTCAAAATTCTCAGATAAGAAGTCAAGCACAAGCCACATTTATAGCCTGGTTCCCTTTTGCTGCAAATGAAATAGGGTATCACTTTTCCTACCCTCCATGGCCCCGAGAGAACATATAATCACATTTTTCTTGCCTCAAAGATTCTAACATCCTGAAGTCTCCCTCTCACCAGCCTATGTTTTCTAAACTTAAACTCAGTTTCTTCAATTTTAATAATGGGTTAGCATTCTTGCTCTGTCTTTAAGTGCAATATCAAAACCAGACAGACTTAAAGCTCCACTAGCACTGAGCCCTATGACTACCCCTTGCATGCTAAATACAACATTCCTATGTTTTATCTGAGGATGACTTCCCCCCTCCTTCCTGCAGTGCCAGATCATGTTGACTTACTAGACTGACCTACCATGCTTTCAGAATTACTTTCTGCAGTGCTACTGCCTCATCAGTTCTGTATTTACAGGCTTGATTTCCCTGTCTTTGGTAAAAAGTAATGCATTTCAATTAGTCTTGCTGGCTTTGAACATTTTCCCAGCTTAGAGACAAAGATCAGAATCCCTAAATCACCTTGATAAGGTAATTGCAAGATCCAAATCCTGTATAAGAGCATTCTACTCATTAGTGTCAGCCCCCATTCATGTCTTCCCTGTAATTTGACTGACTAATCATTGAAAACTACCAGCCACTTACTTCTCAATGAGCTATGTATTCAGTGATTTCAGTTACAAAATGCCTCCCTTCTTAATGACCCCCTTTTCTTGTTCAGTAGAAAGAAAAGCTAAAACAGTGGGTCCCATTTTTCTCGCAATAGCAGAACCCTTAAAATGGAACAGAGAATTTAAAACAGTTTCGTCCCTTGCCATCCTTTCAACTCTCCGGTGGCAGAGCCACAACAAATCTATTCCACCTCCTGCATTCAGCAGTAACACAAGGATGTCAGACTCTGGAGAGCAACGCTGAAATTCTCAAGCTCAAGGGCTTTACTTCTGCGTCAGCTGCTGCGCCCTCTAACCAGGGTATATCCCCTGGACCTTCAAAACCACCGTCCTGGCCACCGTGAGTCACCGCCGGGTGCCGAGATCCACGCACACCTCACAAGGTCTCTATTGTTTACAGGCTGGGACCAGGCTCCTCGCTTCCCCGTCTTAGCCACTACCAGGAAACAAAGTTCTCCCTCGAGAGGAAAGCGAAATTTCTTGTATTCATCACTTCTTACACCCTACTCCACCGAAGGAGTCTGTGGCATAATTAAAAACCAAGCAAACACGTATCGCAGCCGAGAGCGCGACATGACATCACGCCCCGCGTCCTGCCCTCGGTGAGCGGGGCACCAGCCCGCCCCGCACAGGGGACCCGCTCCGGCAGCTTCGGGCCGGGAAGAGCCGCGCGGAACCGGCGGCAG